GTGATGTGACTGCTGACTTGGAAGATGGAGGAAGAGACCACAAGCCAAAGAATGCAGGCAGCCCCAAGAAGCTGGAAAGGGTGAGGAAACAGATTTTCCTTTAGCGCCTCAAAAGAAATGCAGCTCTGATGACATGTTACTTTTAGCCCATAGTGACCCATTTTTCACTTCTTACCTCCAGAACTGTAAGAGAATACACTTGTGTTGTTTTAAGCCACTTAATTGTGGTAATTTGTTATAGCAGCAGCAGGATACTATAATAATACCAGTCACCATTGGAGCTCCTGAAAGCTGCAGTTGGGAGGTCAGGGAAGCATATACTGAAGACTTCAGCTTGAAGCATGGATGGGAGGTTCTCAGAATCCTGCTGCAATATTGTTATATTCTCCAGAACCTGTGAGAAAGCTCTTATCACTCATCTTAGTCTGCACAGGCAAAGCAGGTGGGTCTCTAGCCTAGCAGGGAAGCCACTGAGAACCTGACATCTGCCTGCTCCTCTACCTGCAGCCACCACTGATGGCTACAGGCCTGTCCCGCCATCTCTCCTGGGCCCCATTTCTCATGCAAGTCTCTCTCACTGGAAAATGTAAACTGGAACTATACAGGGAAGGGGATCCTGGGAGATATAGTGCCTGGATTCTCGTCTGCAGAGAAGACACTAGAGGGGATATGAGGTGATACTGGGTTTTTAACAATGTAGCACATGAGTTACTAACAGTGAATGAAGGTGGACTGGCTGACCTCAGTTTGACAAGCAAATGTGCCGTTAGATGATGTAAACCATTGATATATCTATGAGATTTAGTCATTTTAGCAAGTTATTTATTGGAGCTAGGATGTATCAAAAACTATGAAAAGTGCAGTTTTAAAAAATGTCCAAAAAGTTTAATGGACTGTACAAATGAAATAAATTATTTTTTATTGTACTTTAAGTTCTGGATACATGTGCCGAATGTGCAACTTCATTATATAGGTATGCATGTGCCATGGTGGTTTGCTGCATCCATCAACCCATCATCTAGGTTTAAAGCCCCACATGCATTAGGTATTTCTCCTAATGCTACCCCTCCTCTTGCCCCCATCCCCCGACAGGCCCTGGTATGTGATGTTTCCCTCCCTGGGTCCACATGTTCTCATTGTTCAACTCCCGCTTATGAGTGAGAACATGCAGTGTTTGGTTTTCTGTTTCTGTGTTAGTCTGCTGACAATGATTGTTTCCAGCTTCATCCATGTCTCTGCAAAGGACACGAACTCATTCTTTTTTATGGCTGCATAATATCCCATGGTGTGTATGTGCCACATTTTCTTTACCCAGTCTTTCATTGATGGGCATTTGGGTTGGTTCCAAGTCTTTACTATTGTAAATAGTGCTGCAATGAACATATGTGTCCATGTGTCTTTATAGTATAGTAGAATGATTTATAATCCTTCAGGTACATATCCAGTAACAGGATAAATAAATTCTTAACTATGCTGCTATTTTATTTATTTAAAAAATGTGAGTTCGTGGGCTGGGCGCGGTG